AGAAGTAGCCATTCCTTCAGCCTGGAAGAAGTAGCCATTCCTTCAGCCTGGAAGAAGTAGCCATTCCTTCAGCCTGGAAGAAGTAGCCATTCCTTCAGCCTGGAAGTAGCCATTCCTTCAGCCTGGAAGAAGTAGCCATTCCATCAGCCTGGAAGACGTAGCCATTCCTTCAGCCTGGAAGAAGTAGCCATTCCTTCAGCCTGGAAGACGTAGCCATTCCTTCAGCCTGGAGATGTGTCAGCGTCACAGTCTTGAACCCAGGTGTTTATTTACTGCTGGGTGAACAGGCGCAGCTGGTATAAGACATCTGCCAGTGTCTCTTCGCTCGGGGATTCAACATTGTTCTATTCAACTGTGAACGAACCATTTTGAAAATGAGTCACTACATGTAGTTCTGATGAACTTTATGAAGGTTTATTTAGATATTTAAAAAAGGAAGAGCCAGTTCGGGCTCACACTTCCTGAAGGAGCTGTAGGGCCATGTTTGGTAGGTGAAAGCTGATAGTTGAGCACCTAGAGTTGATGCTTGGCAGGAGGACCCAGTGACTTCCTGCTCACTGCCTCAGTATGAAGACCCGCCCTTCCCTCAGGTCAGGCTGGCTCTACCTCTTGTACCCTGTGTGTGTGTGTGCGTGTGTACTTACCTATTTGTGGTTTCAGGAGCCGCGTCTTAGCTCCTGGCCCCCGTCTCTTCGCTGATCGCTACTAGGTCCACTCTCTCCCTGCTTCAAGAGAGTTATCGTACATTTTCTTAAATCTGTGTTGATCCCGCCTATTCATGGATCCTGCCTATGTATGTATCCTGTGTACTCACCTAATTCTGTTGCAGGGATCGATTCATAGCTCCGGGCCCCCGTGCGTATGTGTATGTGTGTGGAGTCAGAAATAGTGGGAAGATGGTGGCAGTGAAACATGATGTTATTAAGGAATGACTGTTAGAAAGAGAAAGACAGACACACAGAGACAGAAACAGAGAGACAGAGAAACAGACTGACTGACAGACGGACTCGACTTCTTACTCAACGATGTAATTTTTCACAATCACCAGCGACACTAAACACTGAGGCTTGGTCTGAGACCGAGCCGCGGGGGCGTTGACCCCTGGAACACTCTCCAGGTAAACTCCAGGTAAACTGGGCAATATAAAACATTCAGGCACCACACTAACAACAACACCTCCCTCACCACACTAACAACACTTTCCTCACCACACTAACAACAACACCTCCCTCACCACACTAACAACAACACCTCCCTCACCACACTAACAACAACACCTCCCTCACCACACTAACAACAACACCTCCCTCACCACACTAACAACAACACCTCCCTCACCACACTAACAACAACACCTCCCTCACCACACAACAACAACACTTCCCTCACCACACTAACAACAACACCTCCCTACCACACAACAACACTTTCCTCACCACACTAACAACAACACCTCCCTCACCACACTAACAACAACACCTCCTTCACCACACTAACAACAACACCTCCCTCACCACACTAACAACAACACCTCCCTTTCACCACACTAACAACAACACCTCCCTCACCACACTAACAACAACACCTCCCTCACCACACTAACAACACCTCCCTCACTACACGAACAACAACACTCCCTCACCACACTAACAACAACACCTCCCTCACCACACTAACAACAACACTCCCTCACCACACGAACAACAACACCTCCCTCACCACACGAACAACAACACCTCCCTCACCACACGAACAACAACACCTCCCTCACTACACTGAACAACACACACCTCCCTCACCACACTAACAACAACACCTCCCTCACTACACGAACAACAACACCTCCCTCACCACACTAACAACAACACCTCCTTCACCACACTAACAACAACACCTCCTCACCACACTAACAACAACACCTCCCTCACCACACTAACAACAACACCTCCCTCACCACACTACAACAACACCTCCTTCACCACACTAACAACAACACCTCCCTCACCACACGAACAACAACACCTCCTCACTACACTAACAACAACACCTCCCTCACCACACTAACAACAACACCTCCCTCACCACACTAACAACAACACCTCCCTCACACACAACAACAACACCTCCTCACCACACTAACAACAACACCTCCTCACCACACTAACAACAACACCTCCTCACCACACTAACAACAACACCTCCTCACCACACTAACAACAACACCTCCCTCACCACACTAACAACAACACCTCCCTCACCACACTAACAACAACACCTCCCTCACTACACAAACAACAACACCTCCCTCACTACACGAACAACAACACCTCCCTCACCACACTAACAACAACACCTCCCTCACCACACAACAACAACACCTCCCTCACCACACTAACAACAACACCTCCCTCACCACACTAACAACAACACCTCCCTCACACACGAACAACAACACTTCCCTCACCACACTAACAACAACACCTCCCTCACACACGAACAACAACACCTCCCTCACCACACAACAACAACACCTCCCTCACCACACTAACAACTAACACCTCCTTCACCACACTAACAACAACACCTCCCTCACCACACAACAACAACACCTCCCTCACCACACTAACAACAACACCTCCCTTCACCACACTAACAACAACACCTCCTTCACCACACTAACAACAACACCTCCTCACACACGAACAACAACACCTCCCTCACCACACTAACAACAACACCTCCCTCACCACACTAACAACAACACATCCCTCACCACACTAACAACAACACCTCCTCACCACAGAACAACAACACCTTCACCTCACTACACGAACAACAACACCCCCTCACCACACTAACAAACACCTCCCACACCACACTAACAACAACACCTCCCTCACCACACAACAACAACACCTCCCTCACCACACTAACACAACACCTCCTTCACCACACTAACAACAACACCTCCTTCACCACACTAACAACAACACCTCCCTCACCACACGAACAACAACACCTCCTTCACCACACTAACAACAACACCTCCTTCACCACACTAACAACAACACCTCCTCACCACACAAAACAACAACACCTCCTTCACACACTAACACAACACCTCCCTCACCACACTAACAACAACACCTCCTTCACCACACTAACAACAACACCTCCTTCACCACACTAACAACAACACCTCCTTCACCACACTAAAAACAACACCTCCCCACCACACGAACAACAACACCTCCTTCACCACACTAACAACAACACCTCCCTCACCACACTAACAACAACACCTCCCTCACCACACGAACAACAACACCTCCCTCACCACACTAACAACAACACCTCCCTCACCACACGAACAACACCTCCCTCACCACACGAACAACAACACCTCCCTCATCACACGAACAACAACACCTCCCTCACCACACGAACAACAACACCTCCCTCACCACACGAACAACAACACCTCCCTCACCACACGAACAACAACACCTCCCTCACCACACGAACAACAACACCTCCCTCACCACACTAACAACAACACCTCCCTCACCACACGAACAACAACACCTCCCTCACCACACGAACAACACCTCCCTCACCACACGAACAATAACACCTCCCTCACCACACTAACAACAACACCTCCCTCACCACACGAACAACAACACCTCCCTCACCACACGAACAACAACACCTCCCTCACCACACTAACAACAACACCTCCCTCACCACACTAACAACAACACCTCCTTCACCACACTAACAACAACACCTCCCTCACCACACGAACAACAACACCTCCCTCACCACACGAACAACAACACCTCCCTCACCACACTAACAACAACACTTCAAACTCACAACTTCTTCCAAGCATAAGATACAACACTGGACCCACCATCAATACAACACACAACAAACAGTCTGCTTCAGCTATCAAACACACAAGACAAGTAACAGGGTAACACCAGACGTCTAACATACTGATGTGATCTGCGAGATAGTTTAACAACTTACTTGGTTAATGGAGATTAAAGCCTATCAGCTACACGAGGGTCATTAAGGCCGCACGGAACCTTTATCACCACCATAAGAGAAATTTTAGAAAGGACTTAATTTGAAATGAGTTCTTGCTAAGTGACCAGTGTTACCTATTCGGCACGACATATATATCAAGATTGGTGGAGGCTCGACCCTCCGTCCGCTAATATGAAGACAGGAATCTGCCTTTCCAGACTATATCCCACGAAAAGAGCCTATAAGTACCATCGTATATTGTGTTTAGGAGTAGAAAGCTTTGAGTCTTTGAAGAGGCTGATTATTATTATTATTATTATTATTATTATTATTATTATTATTATTATTACTATTTGGAGAGTAGGCGGTACTTAGATACAATCAGTGGAAAGGAAGAGGTAGCTCTAATTTCCTGGAGCAAGAACTCTGAGATAGATTGGGTCTCAGTCAATACGTTAGTTTTTGCACGTATTACTGCCCCTGCATCTTGCATTGCATGTTTCATAGTTGTTTGCGCTCTCTTTAAGTTTTATCCAAGAAATTTGCAGCTAACCCATAAATTTTGACATTTCCGTCCATTATGAGACGGTATACGTTGTAATTTGACGATGTTTAGGTCCAAGACCCAACGAAACATCGTCTTCCGATTAAATTTCAGTTTCTGGGTTGGTTTTGAATTTTTCCTGCCAGAGTATTGTGTCATTTCTTATGTTTCTTAATAGGGTTTGAATCCTATCTACTAGACTATGGTCATTAAGGCAGCATGTAACATTTTTACCACCAGACAAGAATATTTTAATCCCTATTTTAGGGATTAAAGTAATCCCTCTGCATGTATACACTGAGAGACATACACCTCTCTGTGTATACATCCCGTGTGTCTTATTTTGCATATGTCCTGCATGATAAACGATATTATTGCATGTTTGAGTGTTGTTGATTTGTTGTTCCTCGTTGTCTTGTAGACGGTGAGAGAGTCGACGCTGAGGTAGAGAAGCTTCGACGTCTCAGTGAGGAGTTCTCCAGGAAGGAAGGTAAGGTCCCACTATTACTGCTTCTGTAGCTATCTCTACCTCTTACTGTATTTTTACCTGTTCCTGTACCAGTTCCCGTACGTTTACCTGTTCCTGTACCTGTTCCCGTACGTTTACCTGTTCCTGTACCAGTTCCCGTACGTTTACCTGTTCCCGTACGTTTACCTGTTCCCGTACGTTTACCTGTTCCTGTACCTGTTCCCGTACGTTTACCTGTTCCCGTACGTTTACCTGTTCCTGTACCTGTTCCCGTACGTTTACCTGTTCCTGTTCCCGTACGTTTACCTGTTCCTGTACCAGTTCCCGTACGTTTACCTGTTCCTGTACCTGTTCCCGTACGTTTACCTGTTCCTGTACCAGTTCCCGTACGTTTACCTGTTCCTGTACCTGTTCCCGTACGTTTACCTGTTCCTGTACCTGTTCCCGTACGTTTACCTGTTCCTGTACCTGTTCCCGTACGTTTACCTGTTCCTGTAATTGTTCCCGTACGTTTACCTGTTCCTGTACCTGTTCCTGTACGTTTATCTGTTCCTGTACCTGTTCCCGTACGTTTACCTGTTCCTGTACCTGTTCCTGTACGTTTACCTGTTCCTGTACCTGTTCCCGTACGTTTACCTGTCCCTGTACCTGTTCCCGTACGTTTACCTGTTCCTGTACCTGTTCCTGTACGTTTACCTGTTCCTGTACCTGTTCCTGTACGTTTACCTGTTCCTGTACGTTTACCTGTTCCTGTACCTGTTCCCGTACGTTTACCTGTTCCTGTTCCCGTACGTTTACCTGTTCCCGTACGTTTACCTGTTCCCGTACGTTTACCTGTTTCTGTACCTGTTCCCGTACGTTTACCTGTACCTGTACCTGTTCCCGTACGTTTACCTGTTCCCGTACGTTTACCTGTTCCTGTACCTGTTCCCGTACGTTTACCTGTTCCTGTACCTGTTCCTGTACCTGTTCCTGTACCTGTTCCTGTACGTTTACCTGTTCCTGTACCTGTTCCTGTACGTTTACCTGTTCCTGTACCTGTTCCCGTACGTTTACCTGTTCCTGTACCTGTTCCTGTACCAGTTCCCATACGTTTACCTGTTCCTGTACCTGTTCCCGTACGTTTACCTGTTCCTGTACCTGTTCCTGTAACTGTTCCCGTACGTTTACCTGTTCCTGTACCTGTTCCTGTACGTTTACCTGTTCCTGTACGTTTACCTGTTCCTGTACCAGTTCCCGTACGTTTACCTGTTCCTGTACCTGTTCCTGTACGTTTACCTGTTCCTGTACCAGTTCCCGTACGTTTACCTGTTCCTGTACGTTTACCTGTTCCTGTACCTGTTCCTGTACGTTTACCTGTTCCTGTACCAGTTCCCGTACGTTTACCTGTCCCTGTACGTTTACCTGTTCCTGTACCTGTTCCTGTACATTTACCTGTTCCTGTACCAGTTCCCATACGTTTACCTGTTCCTGTACCTGTTCCCGTACGTTTACCTGTTCCTGTACCAGTTACCGTGCGTTTACCTGTTCCTGTACGTTTACCTGTTCCTGTACATTTACCTGTTCCTGTACCAGTTCCCGTACGTTTACCTGTTCCTGTACCAGTTCCCGTACCTTTACCTGTTCCTGTACCAGTTCCCGTACGTTTACCTGTTCCTGTACCTGTTCCCGTACGTTTACCTGTTCCTGTACTAGTTCCCGTACGTTTACCTGTTCCTTTACCAGTTCCCGTACGTTTACCTGTTCCTGTACCTGTTCCCGTACGTTTACCTGTTCCTGTACCTGTTCCCGTACGTTTACCTGTTCCTGTACCTGTTCCCGTACGTTTACCTGTTCCTGTACCTGTTCCCGTACGTTTACCTGTACCTGTTCCCGTACGTTTACCTGTACCAGTTCCCGTACGTTTACCTGTTCCTGTACCTGTTCCCGTACGTTTACCTGTACCAGTTCCCGTACGTTTACCTGTTCCTGTACCTCTATACCAATCCCTGCCTCTGTACCCGTAATAAGCACAAGTTTACCATAGTTATAGTTGCCACAACTCGTTCTCGTACTAAGACTCGTTCTTTACAGTTTTATTCAAATTTTGTCAACAAAATACTTAATAAATTACTATTAAAAATTAAAAGTTTACTATAAATTTTATATTATACATTCCATTAATTTAATAACATTAACTAAGCTTGTTAAAGTTTATTTAATTTAACATAACATAATTTAATTCAACCTAAATTTATTTAGTTTTTAGTAAATTTAAATTTTAAAACTTGCATTTTTTATTAATTTTCCAAATCCTGAACTTTTTATTTATTATATTTTTTTTCACATACAAGATTTTGTCATTTTGTTTGCATTTATATTTTTCTTGAACCTAATTTTTTGCTTGTGTTGTTTCCTTGTACCAGAGGACACACTGTTAAACGGCACCAACAGTCCAGTAAGTCCATTGCGGTCACCTTTCTCCTTCATTAAAGGCTACAAATATATTTTCAACAACAATAACGTCATCTCCAGCACCAAAAACGAGATCTCCAGCACCAACAACGCCAAAAACGAGATCTCCAGCACCAACAACGCCAAAAACGAGATCTCCAGCACCAACAACGCCAAAAACGAGATCTCCAGCACCAACAACGCCAAAAACGAGATCTCCAGCACCAACAACACCAAAAACGAGATATTCAGAAGCAGCAACACCAACAACATCACCTCCAACACAACACGCGTCATCTCCAGCAGCAACAACACCGTAAACAGTGACAACAACAGCAGTTTTAATTACAAGAGGAGCAACACTCCCCTGAGGGAGAACGGGCTGTCCCCAGCTTCCCCACAGAAGGTATCAGCAGAGTCTTTCTTACCTTACACCTTCCCAGAGCTGCCATCTTACAAGATGCCTTCCCAGAGACGCTTCAGCGAGGAAGTCAACTTCCGTCGACCACTGGGTATGTGTTACCTTCACTATGTGCTAGCATACCACAACATAAACTTACTGAGTTACTTCCATATCTTTATGCACCCCATACCCATCATGTGGACACAAGTACAACTAATGTGACATTTTATTGTGGCAACGTTTCGCTCTCAAGGAGCTCTGTCAAGCCATTACAAACACTATAGGGACACGCAGGGGTATATATATAGGTGCCCCTATAGAAGTAAACGTTGCCACAGTAGAATACCACAATAGTTGCACTTATGTCCATTTACTTAACATATTGTTGGTAATTCTACCAACATTATTACAGTCAAAAGATAACAGAGGCACATAATGGGTCCAGGAGCTGGACCACAAAGTTCTGGCAGCTACACAAGTCACAGTGGTAATGAATTATTTACATATTTATATCTGATTACAGTCGTAGTGAGTTATTTATGCAGATATGAATTAGGTCACACACACAATAAATAAGTTTGTAATTATACTAAACTTTAGTGATTTTGTTGGTTTGTCAATGGGGGGTTCAAAACCTATACACTCAGGAACCGAGGTTCGATTCTTGGCACACGTGGAAACGTTTCCTTACACCTGCTGCCCCTGGGTTCTTGTCTACTGGGAGGAGGTCGCATCCTGGAGGAGAGGATTCGATTACCATAATGTCACTAGTTAACAGTCCAAATCGGGCCGCAATGTCGTCCCAAGTTACAGTCTCCTACGTGCGAGTTACTTGTGTATTACCCTAATGTAAATAAGATAGACAGTCCTCGATAACACCTTTACTGGGGTCTCCTGGGTTACTAACCCACCGGCTTAATAGTCCGAACAAAATGTAAATTAAGAGATCCACACCTCGTGCTGTATTTATCATTTTACTAGAGTTTACCCAGAAATTGTAAAAAAAAAAAAAAGTTGAAAAACAAAGATCAACATAGAAAATGTATTTTATGTAGGACTAACTAAAACAATATAAATTATTATTTGCTAGGCCAGAATAAGATAAGGATTATTATTAAGTTTAACGTCATTTTCTATATTGCTTTATGATTATGCAGTTGATGCAGCAAACACATGATAATAATATGTGTAATAATAATGTAATAAATACATGAAATAATGTGTAATAATAATAATACCCGCGCTGGGGATAAGATAAGATAAGATTTCGTTCGGATTTTTAACCCCGGAGGGTTAGCCACCCAGGATAACCCAAGAAAGTCAGTGCGTCATCGAGGACTGTCTAACTTATTTACATTGGGGTCCTTAATCTTGTCCCCCAGGATGCGACCCACACCAGTCGACTAACACCCAGGTACCTATTTGCTGCTAGGTGAACAGGACAACAGGTGTAAGGAAACGTGTCGAAATGTTTCCACCCGCCGGAATCGAACCCGGGCCCTCCGTGTGTGAAGCGGGAGCTTTAGCCACCAGGCCACTGGGATCGATCCCAGACCTTCACTGTGTGAGTTGTGGACGCTGCCAACTATGTACAATAATACTATATTGTCTTAAATATAAATTTGCTAAATTTGGAGGTAAACTTCATAGATATATGTAGATAACCCCAATATCAAACATTGTAGGAAGACTTACAGTAGTATTTCAATTGGGACCTTGAAGGTCAAGTAAATACACATGTACTGAGAGGTGTATGTCTCAGTAAAATTTGTTTTATCTCTAAAGGAGCTAAAGCAAACAAAAATGCCTGAGCTTGCTACCATCTGCAGCTCATAAGACTGCCATCCCCACGAGCCCCTTTGAGGCGGGGTAGATGGCAGACCAGAGGCCTAGCTTCTCCCTACGAGCCCCGGGAGGGCGGGGAATGTGGCTAGGCCTGGGGACACTTGGTCCCAAAGATGAGGAGGTACTTGTACCTCCTCCCATGGGAGACTTAAGTCTCGAGACACTCCCCAGATAGGGAGCCAAGGCCGGGTCACCACTACTTGGAAAAGACCCGGGACGGGAGAATACCGGCGAATAAAAAAAAAAAAGCAAACAAGGTCAACCCTGGGGAAGTCAGGACGTATTGGTAAGTCTCCTCACAACCGAAGGACCCAGGTTCAATCTGGCACTGGGCATGTTTCCTTACATATTTTTCCGCTGCCTCATCTAGCAGTGTTAGTTACTGTTGTGGGTGGCATCCTGGGGAAGAGGACTTAAGAACTCCCATGGAAATAAGCCACTTTGCTTGGTTTTCTGGCGTTATTTTGGGTTATGAACCCTTCTGGCTTACTAATAAGCTGGACCTCAATGGAATTAAGTCACTTTGATTTTTTGGGGGGGGTCATCTTAGGTATGTTAATTTACTTAACTGTATTTATGTGTACCTGTACCTGAATAAACTTACTTAACGACAGTTTATTCGGATTATTGATCCCCATGACAGCTGTGGAAAGCCAGGTAGAGTGATCGACACCATGCCCAGCTTTTCTAGGGCAGGGTAGGTGCCTGAGCCCGAGCTTACAGCTCACAAGACTGTCATTCCCATTAGCCCCCTTGGGGCGGGGATGGCAGATCAGAGAGGCCTAGCTTCTCCCTACGAGCCCCGTGAGGGCGGGGAATGTGGCTAGGCCTGGGGACAGTTGGTCCCAACGATGAGGGGGTACTTGTACCTCCTCCCATGGGAGACTTAGGTCTCAGACACTCCCTAGATAGGGAGCCAAGGCCGGGCCACCACTTGGAAAAGGCCCGGGCCGGGAGAATACCGGCGAATCAATAAGAAGAAGGTAGAGTGGAGTATTACCTAGGGAACATTATGTCCTTCCCCAGGATGCGATCCATAACATCTGATAGATGCTTACTACTAGACAGTGGGGGTAGCTGGTGTTAGGAGACTTGTCTATACGTCCTGTTTAGCCCAGGGTTCGATCTCCGGTACTTTTGGATGTAAGTTGAATATGCTACCACTCTATTGCACGACAGATATAGAGCCTTGTAAAGCTTGTTTGATAAGCTTGTGTATATGTAATTAGAGAAACATTTATTATCACATTATACACTCTCAGCTCTGATAAGCAGCACTTAAAAGTGTATCTTTTTCTAGATATTTCACAGAGGTATCTGTGGATAGCCCCACACACACACACACACACACACATATACACACACACACACACACACACACACACACACACACACACACACACACACACACCTGCAACCACAAATAGGTGAGTACACACACAACATAACACACACACACAACACAGCACACAACACAACACAGACACAACACAACACACACACAACACACTACACAACACACAACACAACACACACACAACACACTACACAACACACAACACAACACACACACACACACACACACACACACACACACACACACACACACACACACACACACACACACACACACACACTGCATGTTTGATAAGTCTAAATTATTGCTTCAGTAGTACGTTGTGATGTAACCCAACTCTGCGTCCCGTAAGATGTTACCCTTTTATGTTAATCTAGCAACCCAGTGCTAGTGTTATGAGTGAATGTTCAATGTATCACACGTAGACGTTGAGGCTAACTGTAGCATGTATCACCCTACCAGCAACTCTACATGAAGACGAGGTGGTAGCCAGGCGCCGCTTCAGTGACGATGTGCGCAAGAAGTCCCTGGGTGAGTGCTCCTATTTCTTTACACAATACTTACAAATAACCCACACTTACCGAGAAGTTAAGAATGTGGATAAATGGGTCAGAGAACCGACATGTTGATACATTAGACACATGTGCAACACTTATTGTGGAAATGTTTCGCTACACATTAACTTCATCAGTCCATACAAGGGAAAAATAGTGAAGATCGGAAGGAGATTGAGGGACTGATTACATCAATCTCCCTCTGATCTTCATTATTCTTCTTTGTATTGGACTGATGAAGCCACTTTGTGACGACACGTTTCCACAATAAAGGTACCCAAGTGTTGCACATGTCTAATTTGTCAGAAAGTTGAGAAATTGTTTCGGTCCTGGATGGAAGTCTGGGTTATTTGTCAACTGTTGCAGCCAGTTTATTGTGACTCGTTTTTTTCAGTACCCGATGAGCCAGTCTTTGGTATTTATAATTGATCCTCGTTGTGCAAATTTTGGTCATCTGACCGAGGCCTTCCGCTGGCTTACCGGACCACCCCTTTAAAAATTATGGTCAGTTATAACCATTTAGATTAATTAGCTTGTTATAGTAGTGGTGAGATTTTGTTAGTCAAAACTGAGGCTTTCCACTGGGGTACCCGATACTCCATACAAAATTAAGTACCAGATCAGATGTGGTATCAAAGTCTCTTCTCGCTACCCAAAAAAGGCATATGTTTTATGGTCTTTTTATTAAAGATTATTTTAGCCCTTAGATTAATATTAAATTGTTGGTCTGGAGTTCACCACTCAGATGATCTACGAGGAGTTAAAACGTTTAAGTTCCCCCTGCAAGACCCCTCAAGGGAGGTTCCTTGATGCTGGTGAGGGGCTCTTGATCTAGGGAATTGGATCTGTGCTCCAGTTCCCTGTATTAAACCTGAATACCTTCCACAGGCGCTGTATAATCCTACGGGTTTAGTGCTTCCTCCTTGATTATAATAATAATCCCCCTGCACGAGATGTAACCAACGCATTGAGAGGCGGAGGACGAGGTGACTTACTAGTGCATAGCCTTGCATGTTGCATCTCAGTTCACTGTAACAGATAAGTGAACTATAGATATGTAGATATAAATCCATATGTATTCCTGTTAACCCTTTGGGGCCTAGTTCCTAGGCCTTTTGTGTATCCATATGCTCTCGCGCTACCGTCCACAGGATGGATATGGGGTGCACAATAAACTAGCCACTTCAGTGGCAAAATCTAATCTAAATCTAAGTTCACTGTATCTTATGCTTGAAATTTTTAAATGATATTAGTCATAGCTTTTAAGCTCATTTCTTCTAAGCGCCATTTATCAAACTTAAATTTTGAAGCCTTTATTGTTTCAATATATTTTGCCTTGTTTAGTTTTTAGAATCACGTCTTTTTAGTATTGTTTATCTTACTTAGTTTACCATGTCATTGTAGAAGTCTGCCTGAGAGCCACATTTTAGCGAAATGCATTCTAATTATTCCTTTCATATGTATTAGACTGTTGCATCCGTCAGCATGACGAAGCTTGTAGCCACAATGTATACTTGTTATGGTAGTACTGTATACTAGTATAGTGCATGTTGTTTATTGTTGTATGTATGGGTCTTCCCCATAGACACCAGTGGAGTGCTGGACGACATCCATAAACACCATAGACGTCTGTCTGAAGCTGGGGTGCGTCGTCTGTCTGGTAAGTTATAATACGCCTTTGCTGCTTGTCCTGTGCCCACTGGTAAGTCATGATTGCTTCTGTTGCTTGCCCTGTGCCCACTGGTAAGTCATGATTGCCTATGTTGCTTGCCCTGTGCCCATTGGTAGGTCATAATTGCCTCTGTTGCTTGCCCTGTGCTCACTGGTAGGTCATAATTGCCTCTGTTGCTTGCCCTGTGCTCACTGGTAGGCCATAATTGCCTCTGTTGCTTGCCCTGTGCTCACTGGTAGGCCATAATTGCCTCTGTTGCTTGCCCTGTGCTCGCTGGTAGGTCATAATTGCCTCTGTTGCTTGCCCTGTGCCCACTTGTAAGTTGTGATTGCCTGTGTTTCTTGCCCTGTGCCCACTGAAAAAAAAAATGACTTACCCCTGTTGGTTCACCATTGCTTTCTGGAGAAGTATGACTTGCTCTACGTAAGCAAGACGTCAAGTGGACTAGAGCCAAGGATAGCCATATGACTGTTCTTGACAAAGACATGAAAAAACATCACGTGACGTGCTTGAAGACGTCACGGGACGTCTTCAAGACCCCATGCTCCTAGCAGTACGTGGAGACCTGGTGGTAAGCCTCTTAGGTCACTATGCAGGACTGACCTGGGAAAGAAGTGAGCTGAGAGGGAAGGCAGAGTAAATAATAAAAAAGGCACAATACCGTGACTGGAACGATACACAAATAACCCGCACATAAAAGAGAGAAGCTTACGACGGCGTTTCGGTCCGACTTGGACCATTGACAAAGTCACACCGAAACGTCGTCGTAAGCTTCTTTCTTTTATGTGCGGGTTATTTGTGTAAGGCAGAGTAAGTATGCAGTCACACTTCGCCCAAGAAAAACTTAATTTTTTTTAGACCAGTAAGTGATGTGGTTTATATTTTCACAGTGTTGTCACATCCTGTGTTGTGAGACAGTGTTATCTTGCAACATCCTCATGATAACCTGCAAGATTATTACAAGTGTTGCAGCCTTGATGGAACTGTCAGACGACGTTTTTAAGAAGGAGGAGGAGGAGGAGGAGGAGAAAAAAAGAGAAGAAAATGGACAAGGAGAAGAAGGCTAATAAAATAATAATAATAATAATAATAATAATAATAATAATAATAATAATAATAAGAAGAAGAAGAAGAAGAAGAAGAAGAATAAGAAGAAGAAGAAGACGAAGAAGAAGAAGAAAGATAATTTTTTTTATAATTAGCCCTGTAAGGTTAATGACCCAGGATAACGCAGGATAACCCAGGATAACGCAGGATAACCCAGGATAACCCAGGATAACCCAGGATAACCCAGGATAACCCAAGCGTTGGGGTTTATTTCCATTAGAAACTAACAACCACCACAACAGTAAACTAAGTGCTAGGTACCTATTTACTTCTAGATAAACAGGAGTCAGCAGCTGTCAGGATCTAAGCTTCACCCAATCCGGGAATCGAACCCAGCTTCTTTCACTTGTAAACCCACGAATTAGATACCTAAAAATATCCCGAACTTGAGAATATTACTCAAATTTAAAACGTCAGAAGAGACAATATAACCTAATATAGCCGGGGATATTCCCTTGTAATATTAATTACAACGAACAGCAATATTAATCTGTATCCACAGTGGTTGTTATAGAAGTAAATTATAGATCTGGTATAATTTTAAGCTGGAGTAACATAATTATATATGTTAGAGCGTGTAATGGAGCTCTGGCATGGGAAGTGAGTGTGAGTAACGTGGAGGGGAGGGGTGAGTACTGAGTCACTCACTGAGTCAGTACCATACCTGCAAGGTAGAGCTTTATGTTGCACTCTGTGTAGAGTTTTATGTTTCACTCTCAGTGGAGCTTTGTTATGTTGCACTCTGTGTAGAGCTTTGTCGAACTTTGTCATGGTTCGCTCTGTGGAGAGCTTTATGTTGCACTCTGTGTAAAGCTTTGTCGAGCTTTCTCATGGTTCACTCTGTGTAGAGCTTTGTCGAGCTTTCTCATGGTTCACTCTGTGTAGAGCTTTGTCGAGCGTTCTCATGGTTCACTCTGTGTAGAGCTTTGTCGAGCTTTCTCATGGTTCACTCTGTGTAGAGCTTTGTCGAGCTTTCTCATGGTTCACTCTGTGGAGAGCTTTGTTATGTTTCACTCTGTATAGAGCTTGACCGAGCTATGTTTCGAAGAAAAGCTCTATGGAGAGCTATACATAATATATCCATGGGTTTTACCCGTGTCATGGGTAATACCCACCTCACCACCCCATGATGGGGGCGCCCATGAGTCGTCACGCAAGTCTAATATGCTCCCTCACACACATGAACATACACACCAGCTGCATGTGCACATGTGTTGACACATGTGTGCATGTGTTAGCGCATGTGTTGAGAACAAACAAGTGAAGGTGTGTAGAGGTAAGTACAGTTAGTACACAGTTTGAAAACTGGGTACGACTGGACCTGAGAAGCCTGGAACCAGTGCTGGCAGTGATTGTGGTAAGAAGGAGAAGTACTAATAGCACCAGTGATTGCAGTTTAAGAATCAGGCCCAGGAGCTGTGACTCGACTCCCAGAAGCACAATTCGCTAAGTACAAATCAGTGTGTACACTCGGTCGAGTGTACACTCGTCTGTGTGTACACACTATGTACACACAGACGAGTGTACGCACAGTATGTACACACAGCCGAGTGTACACACAGACGAGTGTACACGCAGTGTGTACACACAGTATGTACACACAGACGAGTGTTCACAGTGTACACACAGACGAGTGTTCACAGTGTTCACACAGACGAGTGTTCACAGTGTACACACAGACGAGTGTTCACAGTGTTCACACAGACGAGTGTTCACAGTGTACACACAGACGAGTGCACACAGTGTACACATAGACGAGTGTACACACACCCTCAGGTGACAGCACTCCTACCCTCTACAAACAGCAGTAATTATTGATTTATATACAGAACAAGCCACATGCGGGATGAGAATCCTTAGCTCTAGATCTTTCGCACTCTCGTGCGTCGTCAGGAGCTATGCAATGTTGCAAAACAGCAACAGACAGGAAGGGAAATTCTCTGAGGCCAGACAGAAGACTTGGTGACATGCGTTACCACTGATACCTTCTGTCTTGCCTCCTGTCTGTTGCTGTCTTGCAACATTGCATAGCTCCTGACGACGCACGAGAGTGTGAAAGATCTAGAGCTAAGGATTTCCATCCCCATGTGGTTTGTTCTGTATTGTTAAGATCGTCTGTTTGCGATCATATTGCATACATTTATGTAAAGTGAAACCCAAAATTCTCTCATTTCTCGGATAACTTGGCTCCCTCACTCTAGACACCTCTTCAAAACTTTTGCGAAAGCTAGATTTCAAAATCCCTTTCTAGAATTTATTTTTGGCTTTTGGAAGGATAATGTTATATCTGGGTCCCCCAGAGTGGTACAACCCCCCACCAAACAACAGCAGAACTATCCAGCAATATGATAAAAAAATTAGTAGTAATAAGGATTACTGAAAAGCTGTAGAGGCAGGAAAAAGATAATTTATTATTATTATTATTATTATTATTATTATTATTATTATTATTGTTGTTGTTGTTGTTATTATTATTATTATTATTGGGAGGTGGTAAGGAAGCAAGGAAGTTTGAATGTCTGTGGTAGGTTACCTGGAGGTTATTCCGGGAATCAACGCCCCCGCGGCCCGGTCCATGACCAGGCCTCCCGATGGATCAGGGCCTGATCAACTAGGCTGTTACTGCTGGCCGCACGTAGTCCAACGTACGAGCCACAGCCCGGCTGATCCGGCACTGACTTTAGGTATCTGTCCAGCTCTCTCTTGAAGGCAGCCAGGGGTTTATTGGCAATTCCCCTAATGCTTGATGGGAGGCTGTTGAACAGTTTTGGGCCCCGGAACTTTTGGTCATCTGACCGAGGCCTTCCATTGGCTTACCACTCCACCACCTGGAGTGAAGTGTTGAATGATTTAGGACTGTCTCCCCAATTACCCAACTCCCTTCTCCCTTCTTCCCTCCCTTTTTATTCCCATTATCTCTATCTCCTACTTTCCCATCCGTTCTTCACTCCATTATCTCTCATTTACTCTCTCCATCACTGATATTTAAGGAGGTGAATAATAATGTATCTATCTTTTGTGTTATTAAACGTTAATATCTTGTTATTAAGATAACACGGTTGTTATAACTTCCGTAACAGTGTTGTGAGTGTCGTAACAGTGTTGTGAGTGTCGTAACAGTGTTGTGAGTGTCGTAACAGTGTTGTGAGTGTTGTAACAGTGTTGTGAGTGTCGTAACAGTGTTGTGAGTGGCGTAACAGTGTTGTGAGTGGCGTAACAGTGTTGTGAGTGTCGTAACAGTGTTGTGAGTGGCGTAACAGTGTTGTGAGTGTCGTAACAGTGTTGTGAGTGTCGTAACAGTGTTGTGAGTGTCGTAACAGTGTTGTGAGTGTCGTAACAGTGTTGTGAGTGGCGTAACAGTGTTGTGAGTGTCGTAACAGTGTTGTGAGTGTCGTAACAGTGTTGTGAGTGTCGTAACAGTGTTGAGTGTCGTAACAGTGTTGTGAGTGTCGTAACAGTGTTGTGAGTGTCGTAACAGTGTTGTGAGTGTCGTAACAGTGTTGTGAGTGTCGTAACAGTGTTGTGAGTGTCGTAACAGTGTTGTGAGTGTCGTAACAGTGTTGTGAGTGTCGTAACAGTGTTGTGAGTGTCGTAACAGTGTTGTGAGTGTCGTAACAGTGTTGTGAGTGTCGTAACAGTGTTGTGAGTGGCGTAACAGTGTTGTGAGTGTCGTAACAGTGTTGTGAGTGTCGTAACAGTGTTGTGAGTGTCGTAACAGTGTTGTGAGTGTCGTAACAGTGTTGTGAGTGGCGTAACAGTGTTGTGAGTGTCGTAACAGTGTTGTGAGTGGCGTAACAGTGTTGTGAGTGTCGTAACAGTGTTGTGAGTGTCGTAACAGTGTTGTGAGTGTCGTAACAGTGTTGTGAGTGGCGTAACAGTGT